TAGGTAGAATAATTATTATCCATTGCTTTAAGAGCAACAACTTTGTCTGCTTGGACCAATCTAACTGCTGGGATAAGCATAGTTCAGTTGGACTATTTTATTAGCCAAGGACCCCTTTGAAGAGTATTAAGCTGTTTTTCTACTCATTTTAAAAAGACACAACTAAGTCTCACACCTATCCTCTGTTTTCAAGGATGAATTGTCTAAGACCACCTCTGTATGCTTACCATTTTCATCAGACTCACCAAATGCTGATAACATCAAAATTATCACTCATGTTCACTGGCAAAATTCAACGGGAACAGCACAGGTAGGGCCATGTTATAGCTGAATGGATAAGGATTCTGTGAAGGGGAAAGTTGCCATTCTAGATCATTGTCAACATGACTGAATCTGCAGGGAATGAAACTCAGACTTTTAATAGCTAGGCTCTTGGATCTCTTGACCTAGATGACTGTTGCACTTGTGGGAGATTGATGAGGAGTTTAGTAACTGGGTTTCCCATCCATCATACACACCTCTTCTAATATACTGTAAGTACACACATATATATATGTGCTATCTAGCTTTAAAGTCCATGTGTTACAGCTTTATTGCAGTCTCCTTGAGGTATTCAGTAAAGTGGCCTTCAACCTAAGGTAAACAGATGGTTGTGCTATTCCTGGTGCTGATAAGGTCTCTCTGTCTAAGAGCATGAATATTGATCTCCTCTGAAACTTGAGGTGGAGAGGACAAGAAACAGAAGAGAAGTATATTTATCCAAACATGGCAGCATCACTTTGTAGGTTCTAGAAGGTTTATCTTGATCGAGTATATAATTAGCACTTGAGATGGATTTCCTTTTTTCCAGTCTTCAGAAGGGGAAATAACAGCAACCTGCCTAAGAAATGGAAGGTCCAACTAGATCTATAAAAGGAACATAATGTCCAGCAGTTTGGACACAGGCTCAGAGGAATGACTAGGGCTGTGCAGGGTGTGTGAGCTGTACCAGGTGACACCTTAATGGGAGCAGTGACACCACTGATCCCTAAACATCTGCTTTTAGCAGAAACAGGCTGTGACATTTTCCTGCATCCCTTGAAACACTGGAGCTCAATGGAAGAGGTGGTGTGAGTGGGGCAAGACTCAGTGGGAGGTGAAAGGAGAGACCTTTGGTTTTATTTTAAAAAAAAACAAAATTGAAATGTTCACAAAATGTTCATTTTCATTACATGAAACTATGTATATGTAAATTTATTTAGGCTGTAATTTAAAGGTATAATATTATTTTTGCTAGTTGTTTATGTCACAACATAGTGACAATATGGGAATTATGATTTATGAGTAATATT